ACCTGTAAAGACACCATTACAGTAGTCCAGACTACTAAAGATTATAGTAGGGACAAGTTTTTCCAAATCCTGCTGTGACATTAGTCTTTTAATCCTAGATTTACATGAAATATGTATTAATTTGTGTGTGTAGGACCAAGCTAAGGCCATGGACCACTTTGATGACCGGGTGAAGGCTCTTCAGAATCGCGGCCTGCAGGTCTCGCCTCTGAAGTACCGTCGGGAGACCCCCCCGAAGATGCTGCCTGTTGAGGCTCTGTGCGAGTTCGACACAGATGATGTAAGTAGTGTGTTGTTGGAAGCTCGTGCTAATTATTTTGGAGTCTGAGCTACCATTATTTGGCAATCATCGCTGATTCGATGTGTGAGAACTTATGGTCTGTATTAGAAATATAGATAAAGTTTTAATCATATGAAACCAGACTGTCAGTCCCACTTTTCATCACATGTTGGATGCACGGTTTAGTTTGAAATATAATTGGAAAGAATTGGGAGGGATGAAACCCTCTGTAATGGTCACACATGCAGAGCACACAGCTCACACAGTGCCTTGCTCAAGTTGTTTTCAGACCAAAGAGAGAAAGGGAAGAGGTGTGGATGTTTGCTGTTACCTTACAGTTTAAAACAGCATTTTATTCCTTCTTTTGAATCCTCTTTGGAGGAAATTAACATTATTTCCTTCATCTTTATCATCTTTATGCTTTTCCATGCTTCAGTGAGCCCTTTTCCAACTCTAAACAGTTCATCTGGTCTTTTTGGTTTAGTCACAGACTATCAGTGCTATAATAACAGGATGTTACCGGCTTCATGACTAAGTACTTACTCTCTGTTTAGCTGTTCTTTAATACGAGGCCTGTAACGTGTATTGGACTTTCAATGTGAAATATTCAAATCCCGTCAGAAGAGAGCCCAGGCTGAGACTCTGAGTATCTTATCCAAGCCGTGAGGATCAGAGCAGGGGATTTCAAGTCTTCTCTCTGGAGCTCTGCAGCTTGCTGAAGCAGAGGAGGCTGTGTTTGACCTCACTGAATTCTTCTTAAAACATAAATCCATTTTGTCAGGTTTATAAAGCTTTGACTTGTTGTAAAGGCATGTCAAATCACTTGTGAATAATGATGCTTTGCATAGGGAGAGTCCTCTTTTTCTTTTCCTGTAAAGTGTGCACACCAGTCTGTCAGCCTGTGTGTTGACTGGGATTGTTTAAACTACATTTAATGTCCAGTAGCCGATGATAGATAATAATAGTCTGATGTATACAGGGGGCGATTTTGCGTGGGGAGAGGTACACTCTGCTCCGGAACAACGGGACCAAATGGGACGTGAAGGACGCTGCTGGACATCAGCTCACAGCCCCTGCCGTCTGCTTCATGGTCCCCCCCACCGACCCAGAGGCAGTGGCAGTCTCTGACAAGTGAGTGTGTGTAAACAACATTCACATTAGGACATACTCCTTTAACCAGGTTCCTCTGAGGCTATATAAGTGTGTGTTGTGTGTGCAGCCTGGCCGGCCAGCAGAAGAGTGTGAAGCAGAGGATGTCCGGCAGCAAAACCGTTCTGGCCAAACGCTTCGACGAGCTGAAGAAGGCGAGCGGGACCGGCACCACGGGTACAGAACATTCTGACGGACTGCAGCTGCTAGGAAAACATTTTTTTGTTGCTTTGTCTTCAATATGATCCCTGTGTAAACTCTAATTTATTTATTTAATATAAATAATATCATTTGACACTGTGCTTATACTGTTTATATTCCTCTATGAAAGTGTGCTTACCAACAACAAAGGCACAGGGTTGGGCCTATATGATATTTAAGATTGGGACACTAACAGCAAGCAGGTTAATCATTTGTACATAAATGAGTAACACCTTGAAGCCTTTAGGAACACATTTTTTTGTAACTATTTCAAGATAATTAAGTTCCAGCCAGAAACATAATAAATGACACAGATAACATAATGACGGCATTGATTGGTTAGATCAGTGGTTCCCAACCTTTTTTCCCAAGAGCCCCCCCAAATGACTCCTGTTGGAAGTTGCGCCCCGGGGCACAAGTGGAAACAATTCACAAAGGGATTAAACTGTTTAAAACACATGCTCAAAGTAAACCGGATTTTGCCGATGTGTTTATGTGGATTCAAAAGTCGTAAATAATCCACAAAATGGAGGAGACCGATCTGATCGGAGCAACTGTGACAAATGATCCAACTGAAACCGGCATGGACAATGACTAAGTTTTAAAAATGCGCTTATCCAGACAAGCCCGGTTTGAACACTTAACGCGTAGAAGAAAAATGTATATTAAAGAACAAATTATACATTTCTGTCTTTTTATGCCTATAATAGCTACTAACTTGAATTTGTATTCAAATGAATTAATCAATTATTTTGTATATTTTATTGTAATGTATAGACAAGGCTTTTAGTGACAATCATGTATTGCGTTACAATTATATGTAAAAAATCTAAATATGATATTTGGCCTCAAATCATTTGAGGTCTGGCGCCCCCCCTGCGATCTTTGGCGCCCCCCAGGTTGGGAACCACTGGGTTAGATCATAGAGCTTGTAATGTTGCGTTAGCATTAATACTATTTTTCTCAATGAGTGAATCACTGAGATCTGCTAACTGGTTGGTAAAGATTACGGGGCGGTCAGATTACATTTATTAGAGAAAAGATCCATCACAGGTTGGAGACTTTGGCCTTCTTACCTACGTTAGTTGTAGTGGTGGAAAACGTATTCATATTCTTCCATTATGAGTATACTGTATACTACTACTAAAATCATGGTTTTAGTTACTTGATTATAATGTTGGATCGTTTAATCTATAGCAAATAATCATATTTTAAACAAGTATTGTGTGTCAAAATCATAATATATAAAATAAATGTAGTGAACTGAAAAGTACAAAAGACCGGCGTCGAAAATGTAGTAGAGTAGAAGTATAAAGTAGTATAACATTAAAATACTCAAGTAAAGTACAAGTACCTCAAATGTTTACTCACTGTTAGTATAGTACTTGAGTAAATGTACTTAGTTACTTTCCGCCACTGGTTCACTGCTCAGATTTCCTGCTTCGTGAGGGATTATTATTATTACTGGAATGTACCATGTGTCAGACAAAGGCTTCATATGTTCTACTGTAAGAGTGGCCCCTCACCACGTGTGTGTGTGTGTGTGTGTGTGTGTGTGTGTGTGTGTGTGTGTGTGTGTGTGTGTTTGTGTGTGTGTGTGTGTGTCCTCAGATAAGCAGGAGCAGCAGTGCCGCCAGCTGATGGCCGGGATGGACAAAGTGGTGAGTGACCTGGACAAACAGGAAAAGGCCATCCAAGCTCGTGTTCGCCCCCCCCTGGAGCAGACCCGGCCCCTGCAGGACAGCGCTGATCGCCTGCAGGATATGAGGGTAATGCAATCCTCTCCAAATGTCTATTTTCTAAATTCTGCTAAAAAAGCTAACAGAGGGAATTTATGCATTTCAAATCACTAAACCAAAGACATTTCCCTGCAGGATATCGCTGCTGCTGTCAGTAAGATCGAACCAGAGAAGTCCTCTAAAGTGCAGGAGTCAAAGAGCTTTCTGGTTTCAAACCCAACCTGTGCCAGCGCTCCTCAACTTCACAGCAAGGTGGACGTAGCCAACAAGAAGTTCTCTAACATCGAGCAGCTCCTGCAGAGCTCTCAGGAGAAGTACGTGTCTCGTCTTCACTTAGAAATCTGCCTTCAAAGATTCAAACAATTGTATACTTAACATTTTGTGCAACTTACCTTTATTTCAGACTGAAAAATTCCAACCAGCTGGAGACTTCTCTTCAAAATGGAAAGACTCTGCTGTCCTCCTACGAGAACAAGCTGGCCAGGGAAGAGGTGGCTCCATCTGACATCTCCTCTCTGGAGAAAACTCAGCGGGAACTTGGGGTAAGACGGCTCTTTCAGACTTTGGATCACATTACAATGAGACCCCACTTTGAAATGGAAATGAAAGAATCACAAGTCTTTGATCACTAGGAGTGTTATGAACCATCACACTGTGTAGCAGATCTTCATTTACTCTGAAGCTAAAGAGCATGCTTTGTTTTTTATAACTGTGGCCCTTAATGGATTATAGTCCCTTACGGCTTTGTGGCTTATCAATAAGCAAAGTGGGCAACGGTCGTAGCGCTCTATAATACAATATTACAATACTAACTCAAATGGAACCTGCATAAGATTGTCTTGGATATTGTACAATGGTATTGATCCAATCCCCCCCAAAACACAATGTAACAAACTAGTTATAAATAGATAGACATATTATTATAGTTTAGATTTTACTCTCTTATTAGACCCTCCAGAAAAACGCGGGCAAAAATCCTTAATTATGCGGGCTAAATTCCTTGATTATGCGGGCTAAAATCCTTGATTATGCGATTAAACATGCGGGGTTTTATGTGATTTTATGCGGTGAAATTGCGGGAAGTTAGGAAATATGCGGAAAGTTGCGAAATATGCTAAATATGCGGGGGAAAAGAATAACAATTTTTTAAAATATTGGGCTGTCTTATTTATTCTCTCTCACACACACCCTGCCACTAACGTTAAACCCCTTTACTATTCAATTAAACACATTCAATGTTTATTTATTGTAAAAGCAATTGGGCTATTTTAATCTCACACACACACCACCCCCCCACACACACACACACACCCCCCCACACACACACACACACACACTTCTCCGCCTCATTCTGTTTTCATTTACTCGTTCGTTATCTGACCAGCTTCAATCTTGTAGGCTACTCACTTCGTTTCTTGTAGCCCTCGAAAGGGTTTTGGAGGTTGATCCCTCGGTGAACGGGAGTTGAATGGCTTTCTTCTCCGCAGCAGCAGAAAGCTTTTTCGAATGTTTGAATGAATCAAAGTGGGTCGCCACCGCCGATTTTCTCTTATGCTGCAACACACAGTTGCACGGGGTGCAGAATAGTTTCCCCCCACTTTTGTGAAAGACATCGGGGTACTGCTTTGCCC